TAGTTTTTTTCACCCAAAATTCATAATAGACTTTTCTTTTCTGTTCAAAGGGCAGTCAATAATCAATCAGTAACAAAACCTTTACCTTTACCTTCTGTTAAATTAACGGAGAAGATTCTGGACCTCTCCGGATTTTAATTTCAAGAGGTCTTACAGGTAACAATGGGTAAAGGGCCAAAATCTTCAGAAGTCTTTTTAATGCCAACTCAGTAACCCTTAAGTACTTCATCGTGGCAGAAGCTTGTATTCATAAAGCAAAAAACTATTTAAGTCTCTGAATTCTCCATTCTCTGGAAGTGAGCTCCTCTTGCGTGAGGAAAATGTTGCCCCAATTTGCAAACTATCTATTAAGTCACAGAGCAATCAAATACTGTGTTATTCTTTTGAATTAATGCAATATTTTTTAACATTAGGAATTGTAACAGTGAGGGGCTGAGGAAAAGAAGAGACAGAATACAATGGAGAGTCAGAAACATTCATGTGTGTGTGAGAATGTAGTTATGTTAAACATCATTTCAAATTGGTGGAGAAACAGTTCACTGTTCAACAAATGACCTTGAGATGATTGCTTACCATTTGGAAAGAGATCTTTAGAAACCTCCTCATACAATTGACACAAAGTCAATTCCATCTGGATAAAGACATCAGTGTAAGAAAGCAAGAACATTAGCTTGAAATATAAAGAAAAATACTTCTAAACCTTGAGGAAGGAATAGCTACTTCAATAAGATGTAAAAGCCATAAATGGAAAAGATTGACAAGGTTGAACGTTTCAAAATGGAAAACCTCATATGGCCAGGATAGGATTTTTTTCCCCCAGGAATGCATGGCTGGTTCAATACCAGAAATAATATCAAGTAGTTTACCACATCAACAAAATAAGGGAGGAAAAATAAACCCATAAACATCTCAGGAGATGCTGAAAAGGCATTAGATAAAATTTGAGACATTCCTAGTAATAACTCTAAATAAAATACTAATAGGAGAAATTACTAACTGTGGTAAGACTACTTGTCCAAAAATTAATTTCTAAACAGTGAAATATTAAAGTCATTACCATTAAAATCAGGAATGAGACTACAATGTCCATTATCATCAATATTATTTGACATTGTTTTGGAAATTTTAGGGAACACAGTAAGGCAAGAAATGAAATATTTGATTTAAATATAGAAAAGAAAACATAAAAAGAATTTATTTTTTGACATATACTTATAGACTTAAAATACCCAGTAGGCTCTAATAAAAACGATCAGAATTAATAAGAGAGTTTAAGAGAGTGGTGACTATAAGACCAGTATATAAAAATCTGTCATGTTTCTCCGTACTAGCAATTACCAGCTGGAAATGGAAATGAGGGAAGATGGTCCATTCATAAGAGCAATTAAGTCCATAAAAACCTTGAGAATTATATTAAAAGGACAATTACAGAAACTATCTGAAAGAGATAGAAAAGTATAAAATCTTATTGAGGGACATAAAAAATATCTGAACAAATAGAAAGGCAATAGCCATGTTCTTGCATGAGAAAGTTTAAGAGAGTAAAGTAAATATGCAAATTTAACATGATTCCAGTTGGAATCTCAACAGAGTGTTTTTGTGGGGTGGGTTCTAGGGCTGGAGTAGAAATAATGAAATTTTCTTAAAGTCAAATAGAATAATAAATGCCTGAAAATAACCAAGAAAATTATGAAAAAGAACACCAGTGAAGGGGTCTTGCCGTGCTAGCTATAAAGCATAGTGTAAAGTGACATAATGGAAACAGTGTGGTGCTGGCACCGGGGTAAACAAACAGCTTAGTGGGATGTGATAGAAAGCTCAGTAATGGACCTCAGAAAATTAGTAATTTGAATGTGACAAAGGTGGTGGCATTTCAAGAGAAAGGGGTATTTATTAATAATCAGTGCTGGCTCCTCTGGCTCCCTGACTGGGAGAAAACAAAGTTATATACCTATCTTATTCCATGTTGAAACAATTCCAGAGAGCTTAACATTTTTAATTAAAAAAAAAAAAAAAACCTTAGAACAAAATTTAGGAGACTCTGTTCGGCCTCGGGGTTGGAGAAACACATTTTTAATGAAGATAAAATATCCTAAAACTCTAAAAGAAAAGATAGCTATATTAGCCTCTTTAAGTATATACACATTTTGTAAGGCAAAGATGTCATCGACAAAGCCAAGTGACAAATGATAAATTGGGAAAAAATATTTTTAATATAGATGTTAAATAATGTCCAAAGGTCTTGTAGATTTCTAACAAAAGGACAATCAATCTGGAAAAAATGAGCAAATAAAACGGACAATTGCAAGAGAAAGAAATACAAATGCTCCACCTTGCTAGTAATATTGTTTTTATTGTTGTTATTTGCCATCAAGTAGGACCCGACTCATAGCGACTCCTCCTTGAGTTTCTGAGGCAATATCACTACGGAAATAGATTGCCCAACCTTCCTTCCGAGGAGTGGCTGGTGAGTTTAAACCACCAGCCTTCTGGTTAGCAGTCAAGTACCTTAGGCACTACGCTACCAGAGCTCCTTGCTAGTAATAAGGAAATACAAATTAAGATAACAATTAAATACAAGCAGATTGGCCAAAAATTAACATGATCCAGTGTTAGTAAGGATGTTGGGAGATGGATACTCATGTATGTGATTAGCAGTGGTATAACTAAGTACAGCCATTCTGGACTGCTCAATTTGACAGTTTCTCCTAAAATTAAAAATGTTCTCATCTTATGACATAGCAGGTTGACTTCTTGGTGATGTCCCCTAACCTGTGCTCAGCAACCATGAAAAGGATGCTTCTGCAACATTGTTTTACGTATGAAATATTGTAAATAATACCCATAAGTCAATAGGGCAAAGTTAAAGAAGAACATTTCAAGTGAAGCATCCATGGCAATGGATATGGGTGATGGTTGCACAACATGACTGATGTAATTGATGTCACTGAGTTGTACGCATGAAAAATGTTGAATTGGCAAATGTTGTGTTATCTATATTTTTGTAATAGTAGAAAAAATTATAGAGCATTCATACCATAGAATACTCTCAGGGAGTTAGAAAGAATGAGATAAGTATGCCTTGAAGAGATATTAAATATAAAAAGCAAGTTGTAGAACAATATGCACAGTATGATACCATTTCTGTAAAACACTAAAACCAAAACTATAGTTCCATATGTATAAATATATGTGTGTAAATGTATGAACCACTACCTGTCTGTCAGTTTGTCATACTGTGGTGGCTTTTGTGTTGTTATGGTACTAGAAGTTATGCCACTGGTATGTCAAATACTAGTGGAGTCATCCATGGTGAATAGATTTCAGCAGAATTACCAGACCAAGACAAGGAAGAAAGGCCTGGCAATTAACTTGAATATTAGTCAATGAAAACTACACAGATCACAACAGAATATTGTCCAATATAGTGCTAGAAGGTGAGCCTCCTAGGTTGGAAGGCATTCAAAATACATAGTGGCAATAGCAATGGACTTGAGCACACTGATTGTGAAGATGGCTCAGGACTGAGCAGTGTTTCATCCCATTGTACCTGATTCGCCATGAGTTGGAACCAACCAGATGACAACTAACAACAAAATGTTTGGAGGGAGGCCTGGAAGAGACTCATAAAACTGCCAACAGTGATAACCTCCGGGAATGGTGAATGGTTGTTATTGTTGTTATTGTTGTTATGTGCCATCGAGTCGGCCCCGACTCATAGCGACCCCTCCTTGGGTTTCCGAGGCAGTATCACTACGGAAGTAGGATTGCCCAACCTTCCTTCCGAGGAGTGGCTGGTGGGTTTGAACCGCCAGCCGTCTGGTTAGCAGGCAAGTGTCTTAGCCACTATGTTACCAGAGCTCCTGGTGAATGGTTAGGGGGAACTTTATCTTTATGGCCTAGTAGTTAAAGCATTTGTCTGGTAACCAAAAGGATGGCAGTTCGGACACACCAGCCACTCTGCAGGAGAAAGATGAGGCAGTCTTTCCATAAAGATTTACAACCCTAGGAACCCTATGGGACAGTTCTACAATGTCCTATAGTCAAGAATCATTCAAGTCAGAATCAACTTGATGGCAGTGTGTTTGGTTTTTATCTTTATTGCTTGACATTTTTACAAGAATGTATTAATTAAAATACAATTAAAAATAAAATTTGGAAAAATTGATTGCATTTCAGGATCAGCATTAATTAAATTTCAGATAAATTAGAATACCAAACCAAACCCATTCCTCTCAAGTCTATTCCAACTCGTAGCAATCCTAAAGGACAAAGTAGAATTACCCTATAGGGTTTCCCAGGCTATAAATCTTTATGGAAGCAGACTGCCTCATCTTTCTCCCATGGAGCAGCTGGTGGGTTTGAACTGCCAACCTTTTGGTTAGCAGCTGAATACTTTAACCACTATGCCACCCATCCACTGTCATCGAGTCCATTCCAACTCATAGTGACCCCCCATAGGGTTTCCGAGGTTGTAAATCTTTATGGAGTAGATTGCCTCATCTTCCTCCTGAGGAGCAGCTGGTGGGTTTGAAACGCTCACTTTCTGGTTAGCAGCCAAATGCCTTACCAGAGCTCCTTAAATTAGAATAAGAGGGATATAATGAAGGACAAGGAAGAACACAAGTCTGCAAGCTATAATATCCTGTCCAACTGCTGTCAATAAGGGAAGCAAAACTTTTGTTTTCACTTAGTCGTACTCACTCAGTCCTTCTTTATAGCAATCTGATGTTCTGGGTGATGTTATCCTCATCTTACAAGTAAAGAAACAGACCTAGAGGCCAGGGATCACTTGCCCAAGGCCACACAGCTAGTCAGTGGTAGATGTGGATTTTCTGATTCCAGCCCTGGCTCTGCACTGTACTGTTTCTCTGGAAGTATAAAATCAAGACCAGCTGTTGGGGAGGGGTTGGGAGGAAGACCTTGAGTGCTAGACTGAGGGGCACCTGGTCCAGTGATTCTTCATCTCCTTATGTCTCTGTCCAGGTGTTGCCATGGTGATGGCGGTGGAGGACAGTATGGTGCAGGTGGTGGTGCGTGTACGACCCCCAACCCCACGAGAGTTGGAGAGTCAACGGCGGCCTGTGGTTCAGGTGGTGGATGAGCGGGTGCTGGTGTTCGACCCTGAGGAGCCTGATGGAGGATTCCCTGGCCTGAAATGGGGCAGCATCCATGATGGCCCCAAGAAGAAGGGCAAAGACCTGAAGTTTGTCTTTGATCGGGTCTTTGGTGAAGAAGCCACCCAACAGGATTTGTTCCAGTACACCACCCACAGCATCCTGGATGGCTTCCTCCAGGGTTACAACTGCTCAGGTGAGAACCAGCCACCAAGGAGGAAGAGCCTAGTGGGACGGGTAGTGGCCTTGCTTCCCTGCTTCCTTCTAAGGGTTTCATGTGTCTTCTGGCATGTGACCACCTCCACCTCAGCTAGGCATGACTTGTTGAGAAGACCTGTGGACCTTCCATTCCCTGTGAGTCCCCATTCATTCTACTACATGCAAGGCACTGTACCAGGCCCTGAGGATACAATAGCAGACCAAACAGACATGGTTCCTTGCCCTCACAGTGCTTACAGTCTAGAGAGGGCAGAAGACACTAATCACAAAATTACACCAACAAGAAGGTGGTTATAAACCAAAGTAAATGATATGAAGGAAAGGGTTGTGAGCCTCCAACAGAGGAAGCTGACCTACACTGGAGAAAACGTCCCCTGAGAGAGATTGATACCCACCAGCAGTGGGGAGCCCTCTGCCCTTGAATCCACAGGCCTGTCAAGGATCAGGACAGACATGTGCAGCACTCATAAATGCTGCAACACAGAGATGGAGGGATGCAAGTGGGTAGAAATAGTGGCATGGTGAACAGGAAGCCAAAGGAAAGGGCCTTAGGGAGGAAGGAAGGGCTAAGCAGGTGGAAAAACACTGGGGAAGACCCTAGAGAAAGAGGATCTGGCCCTGCTACCACCCCCTCCCCACTCTGCCCTCTCCAGTGTTTGCCTATGGAGCCACAGGGGCCGGCAAGACACACACCATGCTTGGTAGGGAGGGGGACCCTGGCATCATGTACCTGACCACCATGGAACTGTACAGGCGTCTTGAGGCCCACCAGGAGGAGAAGCGGTTCGAGGTCCTCATCAGCTACCAGGAGGTAGGGTTGGTCGCTTCTCAGCCCAGACAACTCACCCCTCACCTTCACAGCTACCTGAGGAGGGAGGAGGGAGTGAGCAGTGGGGAGTAAGGGAGGGAGAAGGTGGTAGTAAATGGATGGTTTGAGGCCAAATGAGAGGCCAAAGGGCCATAGAGACAGTTCAGTGAGAGACTGATGAGAATGAAAACCTGCTTGTCCTGCTCTTGTACACTGAATGTCACAAACACCAGTCTAGTTTCCCTCTCCCAGCCCTCAGCCCCTCCCTAGCCTCTAGGGAGAGAAGATTCCCAGTGTGCACCCTCCCTCAGGTCTCTCCTTGCTTCCTTCCTCCTCAGGTATACAATGAACAGATCCACGACCTCCTGGAACCTAAAGGGCCCCTTGCCATCCGTGAGGACCCCGACAAGGGGGTAGTGGTGCAAGGTCTTTCCTTCCACCAGGTGTGGTATTGGGCTTGGGTAGGACAAGCAGCCCCATTGGTCCTTCGGGGTTCCCTCACAAGGCATTTTGGGGATGCCCTGGGTCCTGTGGTGGTGGTGGCAGCAGTGGTGGCAGCAAGGGGGTGAGGGAGACCACAGTCCCTTTCCTGGGCATCTCCTGTGTAGCCAACCTCAGCTGAGCAGCTTCTGGAAATGCTGACCAGGGGGAATCGTAACCGCACACAGCACCCCACTGACGCCAATGCCACTTCCTCCCGTTCCCATGCCATCTTCCAGGTGAGAATGTCATGCTTGGGTCAGAGCCTGGAAGAGGGGCCTCTTGATTTTCCAGCTCCCCCCCCCCCCACTCCTTCCTTCTGCTTCCAGATCTTCGTGAAGCAGCAGGACCGTGTCCCGGGACTGACCCAGGCCCTTCAGGTGGCCAAGATGAGCCTGATTGACCTGGCTGGCTCAGAGCGGGCATCCAGCACCCATGCAAAGGGGGAGCGGCTGCGGGAGGGTGCCAACATCAACCGTTCTCTGCTGGCACTCATCAATGTTCTCAATGCCCTGGCCGACGCAAAGGTAAAGCTGCAGGGACCCAGGTCTTCCCAGGGCAGCGACTGAATACCTAAGTCCAAGGGCCTCCCTCCAGCCCCGCACATAGGCTGCTGGGTCCCACCTGGCCCATCTAGCCCAGCTGCTGCACCCCACACCCACTCGCTGTCCCATAGGGCCGCAAGTCTCACGTGCCCTATCGCGACAGCAAGCTGACACGTCTGCTCAAGGATTCTATCGGGGGCAACTGCCGCACAGTGATGGTCGCTGCCATCAGCCCCTCCAGCCTGGCCTACGAGGACACTTACAACACCCTCAAGTATGCAGACCGTGCCAAGGAGATCAAACTCTCGGTGTGTGCCTTGCCAGAGAGAACGGAGTCCTGGGGGGGCGTGGTTTAAAAGCTCCCCTGGAAGAAGGAAAGGGAGGGCCCAGCCCACTTTCTCAGATGCCGGGGCCAAGGATTTCCCCAGGCAGAGGAAGGAGGTTCCCTTGCCATCGTGTTCAGGAATTGTTTTCCAAACTTGTTTTTAACAGCAGGGCCATGTTTTCAACAAACATCACAGGCACCAATATATAATATTAAACAGATGAAAGCCAACCTGTACTGGTTTCTGCTGCATCTGGGTGGCCTGCCCCAGCTCACCTCTAGGGGGCACTAGTACTCCTGGAGCTGCTGTGGGAAGCCCAAGGGAGCGAATTATCCATCAGGGAGTCAGGAGTCTGGGATTCAAAAGCACCTCCTGCCTACATTCCCCCAGTTGTTAGAGTGAGCCCCAGTAGTGTGAATAAGGTACCTGACACAGTGCCTGGCCATTGAAGGTGGTTGATAAACCTGCTTTGACTAAACAAACAGATTTCTCCTCTGTGCCCCCATTCCAGCTGAAGAGCAATGTGGTCAGCCTGGACTGTCACATCAGCCAGTATGCCAACATCTGCCAACAGCTTCAAGCTGAGGTGAGGAGTCGCCCAGGCAGCCTGGCTGGGAGCACGGCACGCAGGCAGGGGGACGAAACTAGATAGGAGCACCGGGGTACAGCCAGGGCTCTGCGGCCTCACCTTGCTTCCTACACTCCCTGGACTCTGAGGGCCTGGGCTGCTTCGGTTCCAGGTGGCCTCCCTGAGGGAGAAGCTCCAGGTGTATGAGGCAAGAGCCCGGGCCCCACAACAGGAGATCCCACGATCCCCCAAACTGGCCCTGCCACAACCACAGTAAGTTCTGCTGCTCTTTCCTGCCCCTACCCTTTAACTTGCCGGCCAGGATGGGAAGCCAGCCGGTCTTCTTCAGCTTCTGGAGGGCTGGGACACCTTGCTTCTGTTCTACACCTGGAGTCAGGGGTTCCCACCTCATGCCCAGCACTCTGATTGTCAATTGGACTGTGCTCTGCACTGTGTCAAATGAGAAAATGACACCCTAGCTAGCTCGCATAAGCAGTACCTACCATCCAAGAAAAGGTGAAGTTAGGGGTTGGATGTCACTGTTATCTAAACCAGAAAATCCCTGACTCCTTTTCTCACCTTTGCCCATTTGACATCCAAGCCCCCATCCCTTGTAGGTTCTATACCACCTGGGTGCCATGGAGACCCTACCTTCCCCCTTCCTGCTTTCTCCACCTACCCCCACCCCTTGCCTCTCTCTTTCATTTCCCCTTAGCCTTCCTGGCTTTCCTTCACTGTCCTGCCTTCCCAGGCAGCCCTGTTTCCTAGAGCTCCACCCAGGATCTGAAGTCCTTCAGGAGGAGAGCTTGGAAATAGAGCCCCGGTTAGAGAGGGCTGGTGAAGGGAAGTCACCAGACAAGGAACAGCCCCCAGAGGACAAGGATGAAGGCTCAGCCAAGAAGGTAGGACTTGGGGGCGTGAGGCCTGTGCATCAGGAAGGCTTGGAGCTAGTGGAATATTGAGAGAAATGCCTGTTCCCAACTCCAAATCCTTCAGTCCTGGATTTTCTACCCAGATGTCTTACTTCTTAGTCATTAGGAGCCCTTCAGAGCCTGTGCAGGCAGGAGAAATATTCTGTCAGATGCTTATGTTGTTGGAAGTGAGGAGCCTGTGTGTTACTGGATGGGGAGCAGGGAGAGAGGGGAGGAGACTGGGAGAAAGAAAGCCACTCTAGGAAGCCCTCTTGGAAGAGAGAAAGATCTTAGGAGCTGTATAAGTAAAGGGAGGACTTTGGTGGTTCAGTGGTAGATTTTTCAATCTTCCATACAGGAGACCCAGGTTCAATTCCCAGTCAATGCACTTCTTACAGTCACCACCCATCTGTCGGTGGAGGCTTGCATATTGCTATGATGCTAAGCAGGTTTCAGAGGAGCTTCCAGACTAAGATGGACTAGGAAGAAGGGCTTGGTGATCTACTTCCAAAAATTAGCCAACAAAAACCCCATGGATCACAACAGTCTGATCAGCAACTGACCATGGGGCTGGTGCAGAGCGGGCAGCATTTTGTGTTTTGCTCTGTTATGTATGGAGTTGCCATGAGCCAGGGGTTGACTGACAGCTGTTACCAAAAACAATGTAAGTAAAGGGATGGAGGACTTCTCCTGTAACTCTTCCTTTCTTCTTAGGTTCCAGTCCTGATGCCAGAGCAGAGCTGCAGAAACCCATTTACACGGTCCCCTGACCTGCATCTACAACCCAAGCCAGTCATGGGCAGGGACCATTCTAAGCAGTAGGTGTCTTCTTTCTCCACTCTCTCACAGACCCCGGGGTGGGAATTATGTACATCACAGAAGCTTTGGTTCAGCTCCAGTTAGGAGTCAAGTCTCCTTTCATCAACATTGTCCCTTATCTGCTTTCAACTCCTTGATTCCATCACCTGTTTACTCATCATCATTTCTGTTTATTCTTTATAGTTGGCAGCCCAACAGGAGGGGGCAGCCAAATACCAAATTCCATCCCCAAAGACGGCAAGCGCCAAGTTAGGGCAGGGTCGCTGGGCTAGTGCCAGGAGAAGGTGAGCATCAGGATGGGGAAGGACAGCCTTCCTGTACCAGGTATTTATCAGGTGTCTCCATCAACAGACTCACTGGGGCTTTTTTTTCCCAGAAGTAAATACAAGCCACCACCCAAAGCCAAAGAGCAATGGAGTTTGGACCATTCTTTCTGTGCTTAATGGCAAGGAGCTAGTAGCATTTTTTCCTTGGCCCCCAGTACATAAATCCCCTGCCACTTAGCTTTGCGGCTGCCAACCCCACTCTCCCTCCCCAGTATGCTTCACGCCAGGCAGTATATTTAAAGCTTTTGGACAGAAGGGCCTGTTTAATTTTATTTCTTGTTGGGGAGTGTCTGTTCCCGACTCAGCAAAAATGCTGCAGCCTGAATAATCAGCAGCTTGTTACCCGTCTCCTGCTGCCAGCTCCCTGGAGCCCCGGAGAGGCAGGGGTGCACTGGCAGTGTGTCCCCGCAGCCTCTAGGAGGCACCACGGGCTCCCACTGATGACTCTGGGTCTCTGCTTGGTGTACCCCCGTCGCGAGGAGAGAGGACACCAGGGCTCTCATGTTGGCTTTGTGTCACTGGGGTTTTGTGATCTCCGACCTGTGGCTTCTTCCTTGACCACGATACAGGGATCATGGGCCTTACTCTTCCTGCCTCTCAAGGCTGAAGTCCATTCGAATCAAACGTGACAGAAACACTCGCCAAGTCCCAGGGGCTGCGGGATAGCCTAGATCACCTCCATATTTGGAAACCCCCTAACAACCCGATAATCAAAAATTTCTCTTTGGCTTTGGAATTTAGACTCTTAGATCACCAGGACACTGAGTGGATCTTAGATTTTCCAGTTCAGTGGTTTTTCTGAAATTTTTTTTAGCTGCAATTTCCTTTCCTCAAACGAAGTCTTTGCTGAAGTCTAACATGTAGAACAGAGAAAACAGACCTGCTCAGTTTGAAGTGTCTTCTAACGGTTTTCTCAAAGAGCGTCTGATTAAGGCCTGATCAAGGCCGGCTCTCTGTTTGTCATGTGAGGTCCTAAGGCCTGTGCCCAGTGTCCCACAGGAAGAGCAACAGAGTCAGACCTGGCCCATCAGACATCCAGGCCAATGCTTTTTCCCAAAACACCCATTTTTCTCAGTTAGTCTAATCTTCATTATCATGTGCGGCTCAGGTGGACATGAAATGAATTTGTTTCTTAGTGTCCTTTTTAATTTATGTTTTGCCTTCTTTCAAAGAGGCCTTCAGGCTGCTTTGTGAAATGAGTTTAGGTTCCCTGAGCACAATCTGAGGGCAGCGGACAGGCTTCAGAAAAGTCCAGGCAGCTGGAACTACCTGAAGACAAAATAGCTGCTGTGAATAATTCCCACTGAGATAATTGGGTTTATTCTTTTATTGTAGATGTGCCTTATAGAAAGAAAATTTGCTTTATTAGAATCTAAACTTACAATATCAATAATCACGTTACCCTTACAATCTCCTTTAAATAGTTCTCCAAACCAAAAAACAAATCCATTGCCATGGCATCAATTCCAACTCATCACAACCCTATGTATGACAGAGGAGCACTGCCCCATAGGGTTTCCAAGGTTGTATGTAATCTTTAGGAAAGCAAACTGTAATATCTCTCTCCTGTGGAGCAGCTGGTGGGTTTGAACTGCTGACCTTTTGGTTAGCAGCTGAACACTTAACCACTGCACCACCAGGGCTCCTTAGGTACCTCTCCAGTGCCAATTCACACACACTTCCTCAGGATCCCAACTTTTCAGGAGAAAGCAGTGACTGAAACCTTTTTTTTTTTTTTACTTTTATTGTGGTAAAAACGTATACAACAAGACATTCGCCAGTATAACAACTTCCCCATTTACAGCTCAGGGACATTGGTGACATTTTTCATGCTGTGCCACCATTATTGCTCTCCTTTTCCAAAGTATTCCACCACCATTAGCATAAACTCAGTGCCCCACAAACAAAAGCTTCCCCTTTCCTCCTCCCTCCTACCCCTGGTCACCACTAATAATCTTTGGTATATATATATTCCCTCCCCCCAAAAAAACCTATCTAGGAATTTGACTTTCCCTCCCTTCTCCTCCCCTCCCTGGTAACCAGCAAAGTTTCTTCCCATGTATAAACCTTTCCTTGACTTTTTACAATAGTGAACTAATATAGTATTTGTCTGACTGAAAGCAGTTTTGAGCATCTTTTCTGAACCGAAATAAGCACAGCCTATCTGGTGGCACCATGGTTAAAGTGCTTGGCTGCTAACCAAAAGGTTGGTGATTCGAACCCACCAACCACGCCATAGGAGAAAGATGAGGCAGTCTGCTTCTGTTAAGATGTACAGCCTTGGAAACACTATGGGGCGATCCTACTTTGTCCTATAAGGTTGCTACGAGTTGGAATCAACTCAACAGCAGTGGATTTGGTTTGGTTTTAACTTAGTCAATCTCCTTTTATCCTAACAAGATGGTATTATTTCTGTGTTACAAAAAAAATTTATAGTCTGTAGGCGCCTATGTGGCACAAGTGGTTTACGGTTGGCTGCTAACCCAGAGGTTGACAGTTCAAACCAGTGGCATTGTGGAAGAAAGGCCTAGCAGACTGCTTCTGTAAAGATCACAGCCAAGAAAACCCTGCAGAGCAGTTCTACTCTATAGCACGTGGGGTCACCATACATTTAATTCTGCTAGAGAGCAACTAACAACAACATAGCAATCACTATGGACCAGGTACTGTTTAAGCTCTTGATACATAAAAGTAACTCATTTAATCTGCCCAACAACCCTATGAGGTAAGTGCATCTACCATCCCCATTTTAAGGATGTGGAGACTGGTTAACCAATGCATCTGAAATCACAAGGCTGGAAAGTGTCGGAGCCAGGATTTTAACACAGGCAGTCTGACCTGAACCCAGACTCTTTAACTGCTACCTTGTATTGCCCCTCAAGGAAATGAAGTTGTTAGTTATTAGGTGCCAGTCAGCTCCAACTCATAGCGATCCTATGTACAACCGAACGAAACACTGCCTAGTCCTGCCCTACATGAACTTAGTCCAGACCATACCACTAGTAAGTGGCAGAGCTGAGAGGACACTCAGACCTTCTAAGTCCAAGGCCACTTAGCACCTTTCCCTACTTCCCCAGTCAATGACTTTGTTGTGTGGCGTGTTTAGTGGGTGAAGCCACCATTACCTTGGGCCACCTTCACCAGCCTCATTCTTTGGCAAGGGTACAGCAGAGCAGGAGCCAGCACTAGGAGGGTGGAGGGACCAGCCCAGTGTGCTGCTCACCACACCTGGAGCAATGGGGAGTGGTGTGGGCAGAGGGCTCCAGTGAAATGAAGATCTTCTTCCCTCCATTCCAGGTTGGCCCTAAAGGTGCTGTGCCTGGCCCAGCGGCAATACTCCCTGCTCCAAGCAGCCAACCTCCTCACCCCGGACGTGATTGCAGAGTTTGAGGCCCTACAACAGCTGGTGCAAGAGGAAAAAACTGAGCCTGGAGCAGAGGCTTCTAAGACTCCTGGTCTGGCCAGCGGGACACCTCTTGTCCAGGAGCTATGTTCAGAGTCAAGTGAGTCTGCACTCCGCTCTGCTCCTGCCTATAGGTGCATCTCCAAGGCTCAGCTGGGGCCAAGGGGTGCCCAGGGGCCCCATGCTGGGTGCAGAGGTAGGAGACTAGACCCGTGGGAATGTGGGATTACAGTGGACCTAAGGATTTAGGGGTTTCTCCTGTGTCTCATTTCTCGAATTGCACAAATCCTTCTTCCCTCTGGTCATCGCTGGTCTCCCCTTAGTGCCTCCTTCTCTGTGCCCAGAGTCTCCAGGCTACTCTGGCCCTGTGACCCGGACCATGGCAAAGCAACTGAGTGGCCTTGGGCCCACTCTGGGGATCCTACCCGGACATGACTGCATTCCAGCCCAGGCATCGAAGCAGCCCCCGAGGAAGAAGAAGAGGAGAAAACTGAGCCCCTTGGAGCCAGACAGCCCACTAGCCTCAAAGCTGGGGATCAAGCGCCAGCATCAGTCCTTCCTCCCCTGCCTGGGGAGGGGCTCTCTGCCTGAGACCCAACCTGCATTCACGCCCTGCACCCCTAAGGGGGAACAGACCTCTTCTCCCTGCCATTCCCCTCGCATCTGCCCAGCCACAGTCATCAAAAGCCGGGTGCCCCTGGGCCCTTCTGCCCTGCAGAACTGCTCCACCCCTCTGGCCCCACGTACTCGGGACCTCAATGCCACCTTTGATCTTTCTGAGGAGCCCCCCTCCAAGCTCAGTCTCCATGAATGCCTTGGCTGGGAGAATGTCCCCCAGGAACTGAACAGGCCGGAGCAGCCTTTCTTCCCCAGGTGGGTCTCCCTCTTAGGCCTTCCAGCAGGGGGCCAGAGGTCTTGGGACAGACAGTGGTGCTACCCAGAGGTGTGCAAGACCACCTGCCTCGTGGAACAGGAAATCAACTTTGCTCTCCAGGCCCAGGAGACCAGTGTATTGGTTCCCACAGAGGTGTCCTTTCTTTTTGTGGTCCAACCTTGTCTGCCCCACTTCAAAGCCCCTAGTCTGTGCTGGTTTGTGGTTTTCCCATGAGTAGCTAATGGAACCCCAATGTGGGAAGAGTCAGCAGGGGACAGTAATTAAAGAGGGAAGCCCAACACTAGCTATCACTCTGTGTTGATTGCTAAGTGTTTTGGGTCCCACTGGGAAATACCTAAAGAGCTCTGGTGGTATGATGGGTAAGGCCTTTGGCTGCTAACCAGAAGGTCGGTGGTTCAAACCCACCAGTGCTCCAGGGGAGGAAGGTGAGGCAATCTACTGTAAGGATTCACAGCCTTGGAAACCCGTTGGGGGTCACTGAATCAGAACTGACTCGATGGCCATGGGTTTGACTTGGTTTTTGGGAAATACCTGTTTCTACCACTTCTACCACCAGATTTGTTCCTCCAGCCCAGCTTCTGAAACTGAGAAGAGGGTCCTCAGAAAACTCTATTCAGATATATTTTCATTGAGAAGATGAAGCTCTCACCCTCATTCTCCACCCAAATGGCAGAGAGTAGGGGAAGCACAACCAACTCAGGACAGTCCAGGGCTAAGAGCAAGCAACAGACTGGTCTGAGCTCATGAGGCAGGGGCCAGCCAACTGCCTCCTCCCACAGCCCCCGACTACCTCTCAGTAACAAGCTCCAAACTGGGCAGGTGGAAGGGTGAAATCATTTGAACTCCAGATCCCTGGATGCACCAGAAACTGACATCTGGATGTGCTCCCAGAACAGGCCTGTCACTCAGCTGTCAGCCCAGGCCAAGGGAGGCAGGGAGAAGAGTCCGCCTCTTAAGTAGGAAGAAGCCTCAGAGGTCATCTTGTCCAGCCTTCCCACCCCCAAAACTGGAGGCTAGAGGGAGGAAGTGGCTGGCACCACTATTTTCTTGTTCCCTCCTGATCGGTCCCCTTCATCTTCCTCCTTCCCCTAGTGTGCCTGTGTTTCTGTTCACCACAAAGGGCCTCAAGCCAACTTCTTCCCTCCCTGGGACTGCAACCTGCAAGAAGAAGTGTGTTGGGAGGTAAGGTTTGAGAGGTGGGGAGCTGTGGGGGAGAAAAAGAGCCCTCACCAGGGCACTGGACACTTGGGCCAACCAGGTGGTGATGTCTGACCAGGGCTGGCCTTTAATTTTCTGACAGAAGTTTCCTTGTCTTTTCCTTTAGTTAAAGGCCACAGACCCCTCTACCCATGAGGGAGACATTCAGGGTTCACTGGTTAATCCAGAGATAGGACTACCCCCATCTTGACTTCCTTCCCAAGTCCCAAACCCAACTTCTCCTTCCCCACACTGCCTCTCCTGTCCTTAGATCTGGCCTTGGAAGCTCTTGGAAACTCTTGAAGAATCTCAGCCTCTCCCTGTTCTCAGGTCTTAGTGTCTAGCTCTGCCCACCTCACCCCCACAGTGCAGAGGCAGGCCTGTATCCTTCCCTCCCTCCTTTCCTCCTGCAGCTCCTCAGTCTCCCGCTCCCTGGGAGTGGCCCGGGGCCGGGGCCGGGGCCGCAGCCGCATCGCCCGCCTCCCCAGCAGCACCATGAAGAGGCCAGCTGGGCCCCTTGCAATCCCAGGTGACTGGCCTTGGGGACAGGGAAGGTCTGGGCCCCAGGCAGAAGATAAAGGTAGGAAGTAGAGGGGACAAGGTGGGCCAAGACCTTGCCTAGAGCCTGAAGTACTGCTAAACATCTCAGGAACCCTGGATGAGACAGCAGGATGTGAGAGGAAAGACTCAAGGACAGAGCCTCACTTTTCCCCATCTTCTCTGCCCTCCCTCCACCCAACTGGCCTGCAGAGCGCCCCTCAAGTCCCCCGTGCCCTGGCAACCAGAGGAGCCAGAAGGAAGTAGGTGTTGGGGGAGCCCTGTCAACTGGGAGCTGCATCATCGCCAAGGTGTCCTGACCCACCAAGCCCCTCAACTTCCTCTTGGTTCCTGGAGTCCCAGCCTGCCTCCCTCAGTTTGTAGCAATTAACGCAGCAACTGCTTCCTTTATTAACACCCTTTCTCCAGCCATTTATTCTGCTACTCGTCCTCTTTATTAATCTCCTGTTACATTCAGTTTCTCAGTGTGTGTATATATATATTCAGTTGGGAGTGTTAATGTGTTGCTATTTTAAAGGCCCTAGTTTATAATGCCCTCCTTGTACAGTCTGGGGGCTTTTTTCATTTTTGTCCCCCACCCCCAGGGTCTGACACAGGGCTCTGCCCAGTGGAGGAGTGGTAAGATAGGGGGTAGAGGAATGCCAGCTCAGCTCTTCCTGGTTTCCGAGAGAGGGACAACTTCAGCCCTACTGCCCCAGCCTGAGCAGGAGCCCCAGCGCAGGCTGCAGTCCTGGTGACGGTGGTGACATGATTTCCAACTGAAGACAGCCTTACTGGTGTTATCCTATTATAAACATGATACACATTCAGTGGGAAAAGGAAAAGGAAATTCAGCCTAATGCTACCACCTTGACGGACCTGCTGCTGTTGATATTCGGGTCTATTTCTGTCTGATCTTTTATTTCCGTGTGTTAGTATGTATGTAGGAGCTCTGGTAGCATAGTGGCTAAAGCACTTGACTGCTAACCAGAAGGCTGGCGGTTCAAACCCACCAGCCACTCCTCAGAAGGAAGGTTGGACAATCCTACTTCTGTAGTGTTACTGCCTTGGAAACCCAAAGAGGGGTCGCTATGAGCCAGGGCTGACTCAACGGCACATAACAACAACAACAACAACAAGTATGTATGTATAAAACCCAATGCAACAAGTTGATTCTCACTTGTGCAGCCCCATGTGTTATAGACTAGAACCGTGCTTCGTGGGGTTTTCTTACCCATGGGCAATCTTATGCAAGCAGATCACCAGGCCTTTATACACACACATATAAACACACAGATATATATAGATATACATATATATATTATTATTATTATAATTAATAAACTGTCTCCATCCTTTGTGTGGGTTTCTCTTTATACACCTAACTTGGGATGACACCTTCCCATTCTCATTCAAGAACCTCAAGAAACTTCTTTGAGTTTAGAAAACAACTCCTACCCTGCCTCCTTCAACCTTAGGTCTGGGTCCAGGGGTGAGCTGGGCTCCACACCTCACACCCTACACCCCAGGTTAAGCGTGCCTGCTTTTCGGTGGTTAAGAAGTAATTAAGAAAGAAAAAGAAAAGCAAGTATGCCTGAGGCCTGTTCCATCTTTCTGCAGCCTTAGGGGTGGGCTGCTAGGAATTCTTGCACCAAGGAGTTAGTTTCTCATGATCCCCAGGTCTGAGGTGAGGCTTCAGACTAAGCTCCAGCCAGCTGGAACCCAGGGCAGTCTTCTCCCCTCGCCCCAACTCTACCACCCCTGCTCCTGGCTTCTGCCCCCACTCATTTGGACATGTGACCATCCCCCTATTCTCCATGAAGACATGGTTGGCTGAATGAATTAATAGTGTAAACAAAATTACAGGAGGCTGTGTTTAACTTGCTTCTGAAAACAAACATGTTAATGATATTTAGCACGTTGTGAGTACTACATAAGCAATGTTGCTAATTTCAAAGGAGACCTAACTTCTGGGGGAGCAGCCCCCCCTCCTGGTGAGCCCCTCCTACCCAGTCAGGATTCCTATTGAGGGGAGCTGGAAAGAAAACCCCTGAGTTCCTCTTAGCTGCCAGGCATTGCCCTTTGAGTAGATAATGAAGAAACGGATTCGCTAAGTGTCACAAAACCTGCCCAAAGTTCGTCCCACAGCAGGTGCCCGAGCCAGGGTTCCATGCCCCTTGCAAGCAAGCAGACAGCATTTCTTTTTCCAGGCCCAGCTTCCCTCCTCTCCAATTACTCTTAATGAGTTTTCCCCTCCTCTGTACAGCTCTTCCCACATGGGCAGTCCCAGCCTCACATCTGCAGCCCCCAGTGCCTGCTGTGGTGCCTTGACCTCAGGAGGCCCCACTGAGTGTTTGCTGAACTCCAACCAAGTGCTCCCTCTCCCCGCTACACCTCCATTTCCTAGGACCCTCACATTATCTCATTTGATCATCACTGTCACCCTTGCAAGTGCTGAGGTGGTAGGCATAGGGCAAGACGGGCAACCTGCACACCACAGGGTCCATTGCCCGAGGTGGACTCTGCCTGGGCAGGAAGGCTCACGAGAGGAAAGGTCACTCTTGACAAAGTCGTTCTGCCGCCGTCCATTCGCTTGGCAAATACTGGGGGCTCCATAGGGCAGAGTGTGCTCTTGGATGACCCATTAAATGTACAATGGACTGCAGCACACGAGGTTCCTGCCCTCAATCACGGGGTCCAGCTGAGAGTGCAGTGACAGGAGGCAGCCTGGCTGGTCTGAGCTTCACAGGAAGTCGACGGACTGAGGGGACAGCCAGCTGACAGCCAGCTCCCAGCTGACCTCTGTGGGCGGCAATGAGGCTCTGAGATTGGATTGTTCTTAAATAAAGAGAGTCATCCGCGAGACACTGATCGATCGATGGCTCCCCATCCACTGTGGGCCCAGCCTTGCCCAAGGCCCCCTCCCTGCCTCATCCTGGGCTTTGTCCCATGAGCATGAGAGCATCCTACCAGATGCTGACGTGAGGCGGGACACAAGGGGGAAATCATCTTGTGCCCACCTCAGCAATGCCAAGTAACTGCTTTTGGGCCTCCTTGAGGGACCTGGCAAAGCCCTGTGTGCTCTTCTTCTGCAAGCGTAGAGGTTCCCTTTTCCCAGGCCCTTTACTCCCAGTTTGCTGACCTAGTCACCCAGCTCATACCTGGACCCACACCAAGCACAAATTCCTGCCAAGTTCACAGCACCAGGCTTAGGGGCAGGAACTGAAAACGGAGAACAGGACAAGGCCCAGGTATGCAGGGGGTCAGGAATGGCACTTGTCCTTGTCACCTGAGTGCAAACCACAACCTCCATCATTGTTGGCACCCATCTAGATGAGGGGACTGGTCTCTTCTGGGTCTCCCATTCTCACACCCAGCCATTGACTTAGTCCCCACAGGGCACTTCATCACTACTTGGGGAGCCTCTTTGACAGCTACTAAGGAGTCCTGCCACCTAGACCCCTCCTGATCTGTCCCCAGAAATGCCCCTTTTCTCCCCCATGTTGTTTGAGAAAGCCCGATTCCCTGCCAGAATCTAGTTTGTGCTTCCTGTCCTCCACAGTTCTTTTGTGAAGAGAGACCCATGAGGGCTTGGGATAGGGGCTCTAGGGGAGGAAGGGATCAAAGTCATCCCGAGGAGCCTAGATGGGCTGCGTTTTCCAGCTCACCCCAAAGACATCCCTCAGCTGGCCCATAGCTCACAGCTATTTGGAAGACTGCTGGATTGGAAATAACAGGCTGCCTGCCAGCCCTCGCCTCCCGCCAGGGCCACATCTGGTCCCCTCCTCTCGCCCTCCCAGAGGGATGCAGTCAGGCAGGGAGATGAGGGGAGTGGGGAGCACAGCCAATCCGAGAAAGCAATTAAAAAGCTGGTCTCAGGGTTAGAGGCTGGGGGGAGGGTGGGCTGGAGCAGGTCCTGAATAGGGTGAGGAGAAGGGGAGAGAGAAAGGGCTGGAGCTTATTAACCCCAACACTGTAGCCTGCCCCCCTGGGGTCTGTGAAGGTGAGTAAGCTGATGCCTTCAAAGTGCTCAGAGGGGGCAGGGAAAAGGGCGGGCGAGTCTGGGGGCTTCTGCAGCTGCAAGACTTGGGTGTTTCTAACCTGCAGAGCCTGGCTGAGGGCGGGCTGAGGATGGAGAGAAAGAATAGGTGCTGCCCTGAAGCAACCCTGCCCCAACTGAGGGGGAGACAACCCCTGCCCTCAATGAGCCCCAAGTCTGACGGTGAACCACAGGCTCTAGCATCAGAGAGCCCCTGCCCAAGGGGGGAGGCTTCTGTCTAGTGAGTGTCCTAATGTGAGGCAGGAAACAGACCATGTCCTTAGCCTGACAGAAAAACACGAGACCTAGCATCAGGTGCCCCCACCTGAGAGGACAGATACGGCCCTCCCCTTGGGGAACCTCAGGTTGAAGTGCAGATGAGCCCCACACTCATGGGAGACGAACTGGATGGAGTTGTGGACCTCAATTGTGTCTAGGGGTGGGAGAGGGACAAGGATGGAGGGAGCAGAGCCCACTGGGGTAAGTCAAGGAGATAAGGCAGGTTAGGAAACAGCCCCTACTCCCAGCCTCCTCCAGGCCAATCAGGTCACTTGCATGCCTCCTCCAGAAGGCCAGAAACCCAGAGCACCTAGTGGTTCAGAGCAAACAGTGCTAACTCCCACCCTTGCTTCATTGGCTGCTGCCCCCCACCACATCCTGCCATGGCCAGGTAACTGATCTTGGGGAGGAGCCATCCACACAATGCTCCTGCCTCACCCCCACTGGAGTTGACCCAGGCTTGCCCCCGGGGCCACACCCATCACGGCCTGTGCTAACATGTATATAGGCAAATCATCCGGTATGTGGTTGTTGTTGTTAGGTGCCGTTCAGTTGGACCTGACTCATATAGTGACCCCTCTTTGGGTTTCTGAGGCAGTATCACTACAGAAGTAGATTGCCCAACCTTCCTTCCGAGGAGGGTTTGATTTTAGAAAACCTGCCTGAAGCTTCAGACTGGTTTTCTCTCATTCTCTAACTTGGCAGTGACCTAGTGAAGGCTCAGACCTAGGCAGCTGGCACTGCCACCTAGTGGCCGGCAGAGCTCAGTTGCCTTGCTTGGAATGGACCATGGAATGGACTCAGTGGTCACCAAAGGGTCATCCAGCGAGAAATCTATGCATGAATTGAGGCCAGATGTGGCACTCATCTCTCTTGGGAGGCATCTGGATTTTGCCAGAGCATACTGGTGGATTCTGACATGGTGAGGGACATAGAGTGGGAGGTAATTTTGTCACGACCTTGGCGTGAAGTGGGGAGCAGCATGGCTGAATGCCATGTGGC